CACGCATCGAATTACCATGCGTCGAATTACCACGCATAGAATTACCATGTGTGGAGTTACCACGCACTGAATTACAACGCGTGGCGTAGAATTACCACGCGTGGAATTACTACGCCTAGAATTACCACGCGTCGACTTATTGGTCCGTGTTTTTCCTAATAATTCAAAAACGAAGCTTCAAACCCCATGTTTGCAAAAGGAAATCTTATTCAGAAATACGTCAGCCAACTCCCATTTCAGGGACCTACACTAGTTGTGAGTCAACCTGTACATCCTCATAATTATTATAAGAATTAAAAATATTTTTATAACTTTAATACATGTATAAAATAGAATTTCTTTAACATAAATCATAAATTAAGGTTTAAAACATTCTAGTTAAATTAAAGTTTTAATTATTGGGTAAAGTTTGAATTATTGCATTCCGCTAATGTTGATATGAATTTTCAAGATTAATCTACTGAATTTAAAAGAATCGTAGTATTACATGAATTCAGATAATTATTCCATAATCTGATATTCAAATTTTTATACAACACGTATTAACGTTACAAGCAATATCTCATATGCAAAAATAAAAATGAATTATTACGTACCTTAGAATTGACGATCAAACACAATTCTTTCAGTTTTTTTATGATGCCACGTCGTGTTCGTTCTTGATTAATGTTTTCCAATATCCAATCGACGACATCTATATCAACAAAATGTAAAAGCATTTTAGTTAATGTAAATTTAAGTTCTCATTTTACTTTCTTATATTAACTACATGACTTTGGAATTGAGTTTCGAAAACCTCGTACAAGCTGTGTAATTAAAATTAGGAATGTTGCAATGACGAATATGTATACGTGTAAAACACAGAACAAAGCCTACTGCACATTTTGCACGAAATTTAAAGCGAAACGGGGAGAAATTACATTTTTATTGCACAGAAAAGTTAACAATTCATTAACATCAACCACACTGAAATGCAGTTCACTTTAGATTAAAAATGAAGTACGATAAATGAATCAAAGATGAATAAGCTCATCATTTTTGCTAAGAGTATATATACACTTTGCAAGTGCATATAGTTGGAGTTGAACGTTCGTTACTATAAGAAAGTACATTTTGATTTATAATTTCATACTTTAAATAATATAGGGTCACAAATAAAGAAACGTGTTATTTGAAGCAATAGTGACATAAAAAGTCATTACTAGGTATTTATAATTTTTTATCAAGAATCGAAAGATTAACCTTTCTACTTATGATGCTAATGCACACTCGTGACGCACATCACAGTTTAAATATCATAAAAATAAATTGTGCTTGCTGTACAATTAAGTTTTGAAGTCAATATCTGTTACAGTTTGTACAACTGAAGATCGCTAAACTCAAAATAAGTCTGACATTTCAAGTTTTTTTATTTATTTTAATATTGCAATGAAGATTAGTTAGGTCTATCTGACGCAACTGTCGAAGGAATCATAGCTTAAGGGTTAAGATTAGTAATCGAATATTTCAAATATGAATTCTGAGGATTGTTTAGGACTTATGGCGAAAAATTGATATGCTCCTTATTCGTCTCACAATGTATTGGTGAACGAACAAGGACAGTAGAAATTCGATTTCTAAAAATGTGGAAAATGCAATTTCGCGTTACCAGAATCCTGTGATGAATCTCACTCGAATTTAGAACACATTTCAATTTGCTGTTCAAGTCCAACTACAATTTGCATAGTCAAGGATTACATAGATTACATAGATTACAAGGATCTGCATAATCAAATACAAAACTGACCATTTAAACCTTCTTCATCTATTCTAATATTACAGCTGTGGCTAGTTAGCTCTAATGCACCCGACAAATCACAAGATAAGAAATGAAGGGGTTGAAACAATTTTGAGGTAACTTCAAAACTGGTTGATTAAAACGTTTAGTTATCCAGACATAAAAAACCAAGAAGAAACCGTGATATGCAATAGAATTCGCTCGGAGCGGAAATCAGAACAACGTACCCTGGGGATAGTTGTTAGTCTGATGTTCCATAAAGAGGGTGCGTAACTCGTCCTCTTGGGCCTCGGTCCAGAAGCTTCGTGGAGGTTTCTTGTTATCCGTTTCTGCGTTATAACCGTCAACGACTTCAGCCGCATCTCGAGTGGTCTTCCAAAAAAGCAGCTCCATGTACGCTTTCCGGTTTTTCTGCGCGACTTCGATAAAGCGGCGAATTATGAAGATCGCAAACTTCTGAAGTTCCTGTAAGGAGGGACTCGGTTTTTATGACGGGACACTCGTTAAAGTAGACTCAGAAATGTTTTATAAAACTGTTCTATAAAGAGAAAAATTATATTTTGAGAGACTGGTATTTGAGACATTTTTAGAGACTGACATTTTTTTAATTGTTTCTTTTTTAATGATAAACATTTGTCCTATTATTCTGTAGTTAAATTCGTTCTTTGAATAATTGCATGATCTGATATTTTGAAACAATTTTATGTCATGAAATTGTGTCAAACGTTCATGTCTCGAAATTGAATGCCCGATCCGCAACCACTAATACATTAATTTCGAGGTATGATAATAAAATCAGAGATGCAAACATGTGGAAATTATAGAGGGTTGTGACCTTACTTATGAAATTAACCTGTTGAACTCAAATGACGATGTTGGCTGAAATTTCATTCGTTTCATAATGAAATTAACCCTTTGACGCACAATGTAGTTAAGATTATTTCTACATGGAAATACAATCATGTTTGTCCGAAGGGTGGTTGCAGGAAATGTGACATAATTAGAGCTACTATTTCTAATGTGGTGCGAATTGAAACTTGTAATGATGAACTAAGTAACTTTATAAATTTAGAATTGCTATTATTTGCTATATTTTTTTTTATTGTCTTGACTATTATATTCTTTGTTTCTCAACAATTGTTTATAATTGACAACAATTGCCTATAATTGTTTATAACAATTGTCTCCAAATGCAGTCAAAATAATATCAAAATCATTCAAAATTTTAAGGTGAACTCAATTCTGTTACTAGAATTTGTTAGTCTTAAAAATTGTTTAGTAACAATATTACAATGTATTAATATGTTTCATATCTAAAAAATTAGAACCTTGAAAATTAAGTTGAGACCTAAAAAAACAGCAAATTAATTAAAATCTAAATAAAACAAATTAATTGAAATTTAAGCAAAGCAGTCTAACAAAAACAGTAAACTAACTGAAATCTAAACAATACAGACAATTATTTAAATTTTAAGCAAAACAATGTAACAAAATTAGTGAATTAAACAGCTTCCATAAAATTACCTTATGAGCAGGATGCTTAGACTCAAGTATTCTCTGAAAAACACGGAACATCGATGCTTGAAACATCATTCCAGGCATTTTACAATCCCAAGCAATTCGATGAAGCATCTTGTTAACGTAATGGTTTACTTCATCAGTGTTCTTATCAAATTGTCGTAGCAAGATCAGCAAAGCTCTAACAACTTTCACGTTGGCAAATCTTAAACAAAATTTGCACGATTAAATATGGAGAACGAAGTACTTATTTGTCGTTACACAATCGTGTTTACCTGTGAACGAAGTCAGGGAAACTGAAATCCGATTCCACCGCAACAGAACGTGGTTCGGATTCATCCTCCTCGTCTTCATCTTCCTCTGAAATGTTTTATCCGACGTAATACTAGCCTAATCTAACTTATCGTTCGCTAAAAAATATTAAGATATTCTGTGTATTTTATTGTGTACACTACCTGGATCGTCATTGAGTAGAGTTTCAATGGTGTCTTGTTGAGTTGAGTCAGTTTGTGTGACGGGATCTTCTTCGACCACTGAAAACAAAATAAATCATTTTATTTTTAAAATAACTTAGAACTTCGATATTATTAAATATTATTTCATTTAGTATATTTGTTTATTATATAAAGAAGTATATAAACTAGTTATCAGTTCAATGGGAAATGGGTTAAAATGTGAGTACCAATGTTTTTATTTCAGTTATTCCATAAAATTAAATTCGAGATGAAATTCAAGGTGTTAATCCGTTTTAGGATATTTGTCTGATTAACTGTAATCTCATAATATTACTGTAATGCTGCGAAAATCTGTCTTTCCTCGGGCTTAAGCTAGCGATCGATTGATGGCTTTCGGCGACCGTTATTACTAACATAATAAAAAGAAGTAGCGATTTTTCACGTAATCCTCTTATGACTGAATTAACGCTTTCGAGCACTTGCCATTATTGGTCATCGCGCTTTTAATGATTATTAAATATACATCAATATCCGTTAAATATAATTTCATACATTTTAATAATAAAATTATGTGATGCATCACCACTTTATTTACCTGAATAAAATAAAATGCTTCAGTCAACATTTTGTTTAACTACATAAAATAAAAAGTTAGAATTGACACTTTACTGACATAAATAAAATAAAATGTTCTAATCAACACTTTATTGACATAAATAAAATAAAATGTTACAATTAACACTTTACTGACACAAATAAAATAAAATGTTCTAATCAACACTTTATTGATATAAATAAAATAAAATGTTCCAGTCAACATTTTGTTTAACTAAATAAAACAAAATGTTACAATTAACACTTTTCTGACATAAATAAAGCAAAATGCTCTACTTTATTTCTTAAGTCAAATTGTGCACCAATTAACACTTTAATCTTCACGTTAAACTCATCATAAATCCCAAGAGATACTATTTTATTTTATTTTTAATTGTTTCATAACTACTGTGTACCTACTAGCAAAACTGAAATAAAATTGCGAAAAGAGACAAACAGTTACAACCTAACAAACACTGTACAAACTCATAAAGGAAGATAGGATAAAACTTATAACACAACACCCAGTACATATGTACCTATTAACAAAACTAAAATAAAATTGTGAAGTGAAACAAACAGTTATAGCCTGAAAAACACTTTACCATCTCATAAACGAAGTTAGAATAAAACTTGTAACAGAACACCTAGTACACATGTACCTACTACCAAACCTAAAATAAAATTGCGAAGTGAAACAATTAGTCTACCAAACGCTTTACAAACGAAGATAGGATTCGTTAGGGAGCACCCAGTATATGAAGTTTCAAGCGACCAGCATCGACAGTCAGAAAAAGGAAACAAGTTCCATTTCAGTGGTAAATTCGGTACAGCTAAACCACTCTATTGGTGCTAGAAAGGACTCGAACGTGGACAGTCGTTTTTTGGCGCGATCTAACTGCGACAAATCGTAGGTGGGGATTTAGACCGCGAAAGCGGAGATCACGGGATGGTTTGTTAAAATCTATCGATGAAAAAAAAAAACGGGTCGTGAGAGGAAAAAAAGGTCGCGGTTGGATTAATTTACGGAGGTCATGCGGAATTCCGGAAATGGCGATGGTCTGGCTCACGAAATGGCCACCGGAATCCGCGTGTATACACGCGGAGCGCGAATGTGGAATCCGATCGGTCCGATTTCACAGGTTTCGGGTTACTCTGCTCTTTTTTTGCTCTCTTTGCAATGCAGCAGGCGAATCCCGACCGGCGAATTAAGCAGCCGTGGAAAGACGATTACATTTTCGACGAGTCTGACGGAGCCAGTGGCCAGTGAAAAATTGCGCCGGGTGAAAGCAACGATTGGATCGACACAAAGCCTCGTTACGCGGTAAATTTTCTAAGGCTTCCCGTCCTTTTTCTTCGCTTTCAACGCTGTATTTCGTTTCACCTTATCGGTGAAAGTTTCGTGAATGATATTTCAGCCAATTTCATCTATTTTTAACTTACGCAACTCTGTTACCGGAAAATTAATCTTCCAATGATTTCTGAGATTTAACACTAGAACTACCGACATTAAATGCTGGTTTATCGAAGAATAAAAGATAAAATGAAAAGGGAAATAAATAAATACTGAAGCACCAAGTAACATATGGAACTAGTTTTTATCTGAAAAAAATATAACAGACATTTTCATAAAATCACGACAATAAAATTTTGTAACATAAAACGAGAAATCTGAAACTAGCCATTTTGACTGATTGGTAGTTCTAGTGTTAAAATAAAAATTTTTGAATTCTTACAGATAAGCAATTTTAAAATGAAAAAGAAGAAATCTTACTTGGTGTGTATGATACAATTTTTCATTTGAAATCTAATTTTTCTAGTAACGTGGATGGTTAAATTAATCAGGTTATATGTAATGAATAATAAGACAGGTAGTTGAATATACAGTGTTCTACCTTAAATTTCTACTTTAAATTATTCTACCACGATGGAATGATTATATTAGATTAGGCTATATTTTCTGAAGACATTCTCCCTTGTTCCCATAATGGAATTTTGAAGGTCCTCAAATATTTACATAGAAACTGAAAAAATATTATGCTTCTACCTTAACGAAAGAAATTTTTCAATTTTTCTTTTTAAATAATGAAGCACTATTTCTTTTCTGGAGATTGAAAATTTCTTTAAATTTCTTGCTTCAGAAACTATAATCAATATCTAATTAAGATGCTATAGAGCTTATAATCGTCCAGCAATAATAGAAATATTAAAAATTATCGCAGAAAGTTTCGTTTTAAGTATACTATGTAGCATCGACTAAAGAAAACTTTGCCAGTTGTCCGAAGAATCTGGTTTGCTTGAGTGATGTCGACGATGATGCTATTTCAACCGAAAGTTTTAATTGTTCCTTTCCGCGGTCTTCTGAACTCGTTGCGTCGACTCGAGATAAAATAAAGTGTTCCAAGAACCGCGACATTTTCATCTAAACTTAAAAGATTTCATTTCTCTCGAAATAAATAGAAAATATTTAATTTACGACGGCAATAGTTAACTAAGAAATTACGCGGTATAATGGAAATAATTTAATGTTGAGGAAGTTGAGGATCATTTATGCAACAGAACTGTTGAAGTTCATTAATTAAGAACGGAAAGATATTTTAGTTTGAAGGAAATAGGAAATCTATTAAACGACAAGAAGATTATTTTATGATGGAACGATTAATTTTGATTCTTTATGAAATGATTTTGTAATAGATATTCAATATTTTGTACATTTTTATTGTTAGTATTTTTAATACTTCTATTTTTACCACTTATATTTTTTTGTTTTTACTACCAACATTTTTATTATTTTTACTGTTTTTACTAATAATATCAAGAGTAGAATAATAATTTTTACAATAAAAATTATAAAATAGTAGATAAAAAATAGTAAATTTACAAGAAGATAACAAATAAACAAATTATTTACAAACTATTTATCAAATATATTTACATTACCATATGTGATGTATATTCATCACTTACCAGATTTAAAAAAAAAAGTAAAAGTGCATGTTATCCTTGAAGAGGTTAAAAGCTAAAGGTTCCTAATGATCATAATTCGTAACACATATGCGATTTTTGTGAATAGTATACGTCAGTAAGTTATTTTACGAATAATATAAAACAATTTTTGATAGATAAGCCTTGTATACAGTTAATAAGAGATCCAACAGTTTAGGTTATTCGTTAACAGATTTTTTATGGCGGCAATTACAATCGGAAACAGCACGCAATCAGAAATCGCGATAGCATTTCCGCGGTAATGAAGTTTTAATCCGATTTCCATGGGTGATATATGTATTTGACAGGTAACTACGAATGGTACCTATAGATATTTCGAGGTATTGACCGTGCAAATCGACTCCGTGGCATGACGTTTGTGTAAATGTAGCTCTTGACAGAATTATGCTTACAGGGATTCAGCTAATCTGTCTGAGTAAACAGCAAAATGATAGAAACCGTATTTAGCGCATTATTCAATGGTTTTTTTTGTTTCGTTGAAATGTTTCGACAGTTTGTAACAATCTTTCTCACAAAATTAGTGAGATACATGATATATGTATTATAGATAATAAAAATATTAAAGATATTACAATACAGTCTCTTACATAGAATAGTTATATAATTCTTTCCAACTTGCCCATATATATTTTATAAGTTAAGTTTTTTAACAACCAATGTATATGTGCTCATTATTTTTTTCTTATATTGTGCAAAAACCAAAAATTTTGCATAATTAATAATAGATTATTAAATATCTTACATAAATAATATGTATGCGTTCTCATAATATAAACACATATGTATTATGTCTACACAAAGGTACATACATATATGTTCTGCATACATTCTGTTTAGCAACTAATTGTAAGATGTATAAATGTCTACTACATTCATTTGCGATTCTGTTAAGGTAGAACTAACTGATATAATCCAGAAATACAATCTTGTTATACGCAGAGGAGTTATAATATAATTCATAGTCCCGAGAATTGTTGGGGATCGTGCTCCATCTAGGAATTGCATACCTATGCAAGAGTTTCGGAACTAAACACGTTCGTCGATGTTCTATCGACGCTACTTGAAATATTGGAACAATATATGCATTGTATACAAGTTTAAAAATTAACAAAATTCCTAAATATCTCCAATTTTCAAATTTTCAAAATTCAAACTCCACTTCTCAAATTTTATAGTTTCAAATTTTTTAAGTTCTAAGTGTCCGATTTCTCAAGTAGAAATCTAAGATTCTCAAATTCTCAAATTTTCAAATCTTCAAATTTCTAAACTCTCAAATCCCCAAACTCTCAAATCCCCAAATTCTCAAATCCCCAAATTCTCAAATCCCCAAATTCTCAAATCCCTAAATTCTCAAATCCCCAACTTCGCAAATCCCCAAATTCTTAAATCCCCAAACTCTCAAATCCCCAAACTCTCAAATTCCCAAACTTTCAAATCCCCAAACTCTCAAATTCCCAAATTCTCAAATCCCCAAACTC